GCATTCGGCCCCAGGAGTTGCAATTGATGGTCTGAACCCTGAGCGAGACGGAATCGAGCTAGGCATCCGCAGCATCACCACTGACCTGGGGGGACCGAGCTCCTTCAGTGGGGAAGCATAGGCCATCTAGACCAGTGCTTGCACGTCCTGAGACCAAAAACCGAGCGCTTCGAGCAAAAGGTGGCGACTGCAGACCCTGCCGAGTCTGCTGGTCCACCAACGGCCCAGGAGTCCCAAGATCTAGGCTGCAAGAACCCAGACTCCCTGACACAGGGTCTGGCCTGCCAGAGCCCGCGCCTTGCCGAACCTCCGTGGGCTCGGGCAAAGGCAGCCTGGCCAGAGTGGTACGACAGGGAACATCCCTGTCCAGAGAGAGCACAGGATACTCATCCGCTGGACAGGCGAAATTAACAGGAGCCTGGTTCTTACGAAAAAATGAGAGACACGGGTGGTCGGCAGCCTTCAAAACTGCTGAATCCGCACGAGTCATGAGGTCGCGCCATCGGGCTGACGGTGGGACCTTCTGAAATGATTTCATCCTCTGGGTGGGCGAATCAGCAGAGGAGGAAGCGAAAACCAGAGGAAGGCCTCGCTTGCACCATAGAGCAACCTGAGCCGCGCCGCGGCCAACATTCACTGAAGAAACAATGCCCCCCTGGAGTTTACCGTTGTCCGAGCTCACAGCCAACCAGGCCGCCCCGAGCAACCGGGATCCCCGAGGTCCGAGGCCCGAGATCCCATGGCCCCGGGAAAACTCAAAACTCGCGGGCTCCAGGAGGGGCTCAAGCAGAGGCAGCTCCAGCAATCCTGTCAGCACGCGCCCTGGTACTTGACGGAGTGGTAGGAGAAGCCGAGCCCGTCGCAGCTTGCTCCGAGGCAGCGCCAGCAGAAGCAGGTCCTGCCTCTGGGCGGTCCCCACCGTTGGTGCCAGTCGCAGAAGACTCATCCTTGCTAGAACCTGCTGGAAGAAGTGCCTGTTCAACTGGAACTCCAGCTCCGTCGACCACAGCACCACCATCCGTCTTACGCTTCTTGGCAATACGCTGAGACAACTGCTTGTGTTCCTCCCGCAAAGAATCCACTTTCGCTTTGGCCTCAGCGAACAGGGAGCGAGTCATGTCCGTGATGCAAGCCTTGAAGAGGCCCACACGATCTGCCAGCTGCTTGGCCTCGTCAGGAGAGAGCTGCTCGTCGTCGGCGATCGTGAAGCAATCTCCAACATCGAGGTCAAATATCTGAGAGAAACGCTTCTCGTCCAGAAGATCATCCGAGCAGAGCTTCGTGCCTGAGGCCGTGTCCGACGGAGGGCCTGTGCTCGGCAGCTCGTCATGAAGGCGCCGAACGAGCTCGCCGTGTTCTCCGTCGGCCTGCTCCAGGTCGCTGCGCAAGACCAGAACTTGGTTCCTCTGCGCCGCGAGCTGAGCCTCCAGCATCTCGAACTTGCTGGCGGCACTCTCCAGCTTCTTCTCGATGGCTCGGGCCTTCTGGTGAGCCTTGTTGAGACGGGCCTGCACCGAGACCGATGCTGGAGCGGGCGCCGACAGGGCCGCAGCCGCGGTGCGGTGCGCAGCTGCTGCCCGAGAGTCGCCCATCTTGTCGTGCAGGGATGCCAGCTGCAGGTATTCGTCAGCAGAGAGCTTCGGAGCACCAGCAGCAGGCGGTGCGTCAGCAACTCCTTTGCCTGAGCCAGAAACGCCCTTCTCGCCACTCTTCCCAGAGGAGTTGGGGCCGTCACCGAACATGGCAAGAGCTTTGCCAGACGACCAGGCCGAACCATACTGGACGGAGTCGCGCTTGAGCTGACCGCAGTGCTTGCAGAAGAAGAACCTGGCCTCATTCTTCTTGCAACCGCAGATACTGCATGTCCATCTCTTGGACGCGGACAAATGACCATGATGCCCAGCACCACCAGAAGGAGAGCCTTGTGGGCCAGGGACCAGAAGGGGGCCACACTTGGTCACGCTTAGCGGCCGACGAAGGCGATGCCCACGAGCGGTGCCACGGAGCCCACGAGATGCGCCCATGCCCGCCAGCGCCTCCTCCTGCCATCGAACAGTATGAGTCGTGGTAAGCGAGTAGCTCCCAAGCAGCGGAAATGAAAGACTGCGGGTTGAGATCCCGCGAACTGCGAAAGAGAAAGCCACAATGGCCCGCAACAGCTGTGTGCCGTTCTGAATCTAAGCTGCTGCAAGCACAGGCAAATGCCTGAGCCAGAACGGCTAGTAGTAGTAGTAGTAGTAGTAGTAGTAGTAGTAGTAGTAGTAGTAGTAGTAGTAGTAGTAGTAGTAGAAGTAGTAGTAGTAGTAGTAGTAGTATAGTAGTATAGTAGTAGTAGTAGTAGTAGTCGTAGTAGTAGTAGTAGTAGTAGTAGTAGTAGTAGTAGTAGTAGTAGTAGTAGTAGTAGTAGTAGTAGCACTAGTAGTAGTAGTAGTAGTAGTAGTAGTAGTAGTAATAGTAGTAGTAGTAGTAGTAGTAGTAGTAGTAGTAGTAGTAGTAGTAATAGTAGTAGTAATAATAGTAGTAGAAGTAGTAGTAGAATTAGTCTAACCCCCCTTATTTCCCACCAACCCCCTTGGGCGTGAGTGGTTTAGCGAGCTCTCTCTGTTCTCAACCCCCTATCTTCCCCTTCGGGGAGGGGTTTACCCCTCCCCCTACCCCCTCCCCCTGGACAGGGATTCCCGAGTGGTGGCGGGGGGCCCATTTCGACTCCTCGGAGGGCCAAAAAACGACGACCCTCACGAGGATTCTGGCCCCGGGGGGGGGGAGTTTGGTCCCTCTGCTCGTCTTTGAAGCAGAAATCATTGATTTTACGATGGTTTGGACCCCATTTTGGCCTTCTGAGGGGGCCGCGCTCATCTTCCCTCATAGCAAAATCATTGATTTTACAAAGGTTTTGGGTTCATTTTGTCCTTCTCAGGGGGCAGCTCTCCTTTGCGCTTCTGCGGAGGTCGCAAGAGGCCCCAAGATGTCCCCAAGAGGCCCCCAGGAGGCTCCCAAGAGGCCTCCAAGAGGCCCCCCAGAGGCCCCCAAGCGGCCCCAAGAGGCCCCCAAGACGCCCCCAAGAGGCCCCCAAGAGGCCCCCAAGAGGCCCCACGAGGCCCCAAGAGGCCCCCAAGAGGCCCCCAAGAGGCCCCCAAGAGGCCCCACGAGGCCCCAAGAGGCCCCCAAGAGGCCCCCAAGAGGCCCCCAAGAGGCCCCCAAGAGGCCCCACGAGGCTCCAAGAGGCCCCCAAGAGGCCCCACGAGGAGCCCGAACGACTCACATCAGGACGAGGGGCCCGAACGACTCACACCACGAAGAGCCCGAACGACTCACACCACAAGGAGGGCCCGAACGACTCACACCAGGACGAGGCGCCCGAACGACTCACACCACGAGGAGCCCGAAGACTCACACCACGACGCGGGCCCCGAACGACTCACACCACGAGGAGCCCGAACGAGTCACACCAGGAGGAGGGGCCCGAACGACTCACACCAGGATGAGGGGCCCGAACAACTCACACCACGAGAAGCCCGAACGACTCACACCAGGACGAAGAGCCCGAACGACTCACACCACGAAGAGCCCGAACGACTCACACCAGGAAGAAGGGCCCGAACGACTCACACCAGGACGAGAAACCCCAAACGACTCAAATCACGAGGAGCGCTTTCTCTCCCTCCTCCTCCGCCTCGTCCTTCTCCCGCTCCCCCCACAAGGAGGATGTACAAGGAGGCGGGAGGAAGGAGGAACAGGGGAGATATGCGGGGCTAAGCGGACACACGCCTGAAAAACACGACTGTCGGCATGCTTCGCGAGAGTTGCTGCTGTGAGATGGGCTGGTGGGGATACGCGAAGCGTAAAGAATCCCTTCGGGGAGGGTTTTACCCCTCCCCCTACCCCTTCCACTGTATCTGGGCAGGGGGTGCCGCGACGCGTTGGAGCGTCCAAGACGGCCTCGGCGAGAAGGCAAACATCATTGATTTGACTAAGAAGTTCGGCCCATTTGGGTCTCCTGGGGGGGAGGGCTAATTAGAGCCCCGCCCTTTTTTGATCGATCACCTCCAAGATGGCCCCGAGATAGGCTCCCAAGAGTGCCCCAACAGGGCCCCAAGAGGAGCCCAGGAGGCCCCAGAGGCCTCTAATAGGCCCCTACGACGCTCACAAGATACCCCCAAGAAGCCCCAAGAGACTCCCCCGAGGCACCCAAAACGCTCCAAGAGGCCCCCCGGACCGCCAAAAGACCCCCTAGACGCACCAAGAAACTCGAGAGACATCCGGAGCGACTCCGAGAGGTATCCATGAGGCCTCTGGCCTTTCTGCTAGCCCTCCTCGTCCTCCTCCTTGTCCTCGACATCCTTGTCCTCCTCCTCCTCCTGTTCCTCCTCCTTCTCCACATCCTCCTCCTCCTCCCCCTCCCCCTCCCCCTCCCCCTCCCCCTTCCCCCTCCTTCCCCATCCCCCTCCTCCCCCTTCTCCTGCTTCTGCGATTACTCATCCATTCTTCCCCTCTCGGGGTATGACGGCTTCCCTGGCCCTGTATTTCACTGCATGCTTCTTCACAGCCCTGATCACGGCAACTCGCCTGGACAGCGTTTCTGGATGAGTTGGTGAGAGGAACAACAAACAACGTTACCATAAGCTGCTGGCGTATCCCAACGCAGATCCAAGACCTCCGCGCGGACCGCCAAAAGTGTCTGTTTGTGTTCTTCGACTGCTGGGCTCGCGACAGGCGCCGAATGACGGAGGAGCAGCAAACATCAGAAAACATCATCGTCATGCTTGCCTGGAACTTTTTTCTTGAACTGAAACCGTCTCTTGATAAACTCAGACTGTTGCGCGTATCTGCAACGTCTGCGGAACCGGAGACACAATAGGCGTGCCGAGATGCCCACGAGGCGCCGCAAGAGGGGCCAAACTGTATACCAAAGGGAGGAGCCGCAAGAGGGACCACGAGGGGCCGCAAGAGGGGCAAGGAACCCCTATCCTGCGCCTCGTCACTTCGGGTGCCCCCCGCGCCTCCGAACTGATTTTCCCCTTCTCCACCAGCTCGGTCAGCCGCTTGCGGACGTTCGTGGGCCTCCCCGCACTGGGCAGCATGAGGAGCGCCCAGCAGGCCAGATGGTGGATGGAGAAGACGGTGAAGAAAATACGACGGAAGAATACAGGAACAATAGAGCTAAGAATGAGAACAGCAGCAAGAAGAAGAAGACGAATGCCACCTCTGCGGGCATGCGGCCAGGCCCCATCCAAAGCGGGCGAGGCCGTGGCCTCTGCACCAAGGTCAGGGGCGTCCAAGAGGGGGTCATCCAAGAAGGGGGGGCACAAATCATGGCCGGCGGCATGTGCGCGGCCTTAGGGGGGAGGGCAGGGACGTATTTGATAAGAAGAGGCGCCATGAAATCTGGTGAGATCACATGGACCCCGCCATGATATCCACACACACAGACACACACACACACACACACCCACACACACACAACCACACACACACACACCCCTCGTCATCACCCGCCTCCCGGGAGTGGGCCTCTGCCCCACGGCCGTCACGCATCGGCTCGGGATAAGCGGCTGGTCTCGGGGAGGGGGGCTGGGAGCTCCACTGGACACCGACTCGGAAGGACCCGGTCGTCGGAGGCCTCGGTCTCGTCTCTCCCTCCAGCCCTCCCTCCTCGATTCCTATCCCTCTCCTCCTTCCCCTGGCCCCTTTCGGCCCCTCCACATGGTCGGCGATGTCGTCTCCGGGGACCCCTGCCCCAGGTTCGCCTCGGCGCGCCAGGGGAGGGGAGGAGGGGGGGTGGAGGATCGCAAAGGAGGAGGAGGGTCGAGGAGATGGAGGAGGAGGGTCAGGGAGGCTCGAGGAGGAGGGTCGAGGAGGAGGAGGAGCAGGAAAAGGATGAGGAAGAGGAAGCGGAGGAGGGTCGAGGAGGACGAGGAGGAGGAGGAGGAGGATCGCGAAGGAGGAGGAGGGGAAGGAAGGAGGGTTTTTTTTTACATCTACGACTACATGACCCATCTCGAGGGGAATTTCCTGTCGGCCTGCTAGTCGGACTCGTCTCCGTTCGGATAATCCTGAGGCCGCACGAGGGGCTGCTCATCTTCTTCCCTCCTTAGGGCCTCGATCACCCTGAGGGTCTCTCTGAAATATTCTCTCTCACGAACAGAGGAGGCAGAGGAGGAGGACAGAGCCGCACCCTCGGCAGGCTGAGAGGACGCTTCATCCCCAACCCCCGCACTCACACTCGCCCGCCCCCCCCCCCCCCCCACAAACGGCGCGGCAGCGAGACCAGGAGCGGCAATACAAGCAGGCAGTGCCGAGCCAGCTGTCCAGGGAGAAGAGAGAAATTGCACATTCTCCAGCCTCTTCTGTTCCTGCGAGAGACGCCCCGCACAAACATACTTCCAGTTTGCGCGGCCAGCTCCCCCCCTTGTCCAGGGGAGCATGGAGAAGCGAGATGGACGCGCCTGCCACCTGTACTGTAGTGGCGGCATGTCAGGCGAATGCACCAAACAACCGTCGGTGCAATCGAGTAGAGCGCACTGGTGGTTGTTAGCTGCCACAAGCTGTGGATTCAAGCGAGGTGGCTTGACGCATCTGCCTGGGGGTGGTTGCGCTTCCCCCCTTTGTACCCCTCAAACAAACCGTGCACTGCCAAAAAGTAGAGGTGCAGATCCATTCGTGGCTGGCCCCTTCAGGCCTTAAGGACCTTGGACCATGTTTAGCATACTCTGCCTCCAAAAGGTCCAGACGCGGCCACAAAGGGATACCATCCATGGCAATCTGGATGACAGCTGTTGAGATCTGGACATAATTGTCTACTCTGGTTTGGGTGTCAGGGTCGGGGGCGGGATGGACTTTAGGTCCCAACTTGGCGGCGGCGTCAGCGAAGCTGTTCCCTGCGCGACGGAAGCGCCCCAGCTCAGAAATACACTATTCGCGCTGGTCCTTGCGCGCCGCATCTTTGACGACGTCGAGAACCTTCCCCACAGAGCCCCTGAACCCCTCGACCAAAACCCCAAATAAGTCCCAGGGCCAAAGACACGCCCACAAACGGGTCTCCCAGAGACTCTAACAACGCTGGCGCGATCCGGTGAGAAATTGCGCTTCCCTCGATATTAGTTCCAAAAGCAGCAGAAAGCTCAAAAACTCGCCGGCCTGAGATGACTGCGGGAACTGGCCCCAACAGGGCCCACAGAACCAGCTCAAAAATTTCAAATCAAAGAAAATTCGATGCCCACAACAGCCCAAATGGGCGCCAAGAGGCCCCGGAATCCACCAAACCGACCCAGGAGGGCCCCAAGACGGCCGCCCCCAAAAAACCCAAATGAGTCCCACTTAAAGCTCCCCCGACGGCTCCAGAACGCGAATTACGACTCGTGAGGAAATCGCTCCTGGACGCCCACAATTGCCTCCACAAGACCCCTGAGGCCCCCGAAACGCCCCAACACGCCACCAGGGCGCGTCCCAAAAAACCGCGCATAACCAAACCTCGCCCTTTTCCCGAAGGGAAACGTCAACGTTTAACACATTCGCTTCTCGAGCATTCATGCGTCCCACATCACCCCAAAAAGCACCAAAAATCAACCCAGAAACCCGTGCATAACCAAGAAAACTCCCAGACGGCACAAACGGGCCACAACAGGGCCCCCTACGCCACCAAGGAGAACCCCAGGACGGCCCGGGTAATAAGGGACGCCCGAATTGAGAATTCGAACGCGTCGCCCCGAAACAGCATGAAGAGGCGCCTGACTGCACCCAAAAGGCCCTGACGGGCATCCACACTGCCCCCGGACGACCCCCGGGCCTGGAGGCGGCCTTTTCGACGACGAAAACAACGAAAAAATTGAAAAACCAAAGACTCTGTAGCAACAGTCCCCTCTTGTCCCCATGCAAAAATCGTTCGCCATGGGCCCCCCCGGGCCCTTTACGGAATCCAATCGCAATCGCGTTCCCGAGTGCATCCAGCCGCGGCGACAAGGAGGGGCCCCAAACACCCCCAACCACAACAAACCTCCTGAATCCGACGGGCTACTCCGTAAAAACTCGTTCCCCGAACCTCTCCCCGGGTCCGCTGATGCAATCTGTCGCCACAGATCCGCCCAGCTGTGAAAATCCTGGGGCCCAGGACAGGCCCCCGGAGACCGAAACCCATCAAAAACAAACGTTGCTCAAACAACATATTTGGAAAAGACGGCCGGGCCTGCCGCGGGCATCCACCTCGATCGATAAGAAAAAAGAAAAGGACGAGAAGGAGGAAGAGGAAGACGAAGAGAAAAACAAATGAATCATATTCGTCGCCGCCGCCGATGTCTCACATATTTTCGCGGTCTTTCGACCGCCCGAGGCATCTCCTCGAAGTCAGCCTCCAAGAACCGTCTTCGGCACCGGGGGCCACCGCCGACGGTCCTGAACGGGGATCGACTTCCCTGGCCAGCGCCACCGTTTCGCAAAGGAAGAGGTACGGGGTGGATCGAGGCCCGAGGCATGGGGCTCCTAGTTCTTGGGCGCTCTCCGCCCCCTCTAGGCCTTCAGGAGGCTCCTCGTCGACACAGCCGGGTCAACTCTCGAACTTTTGGCCGGACGCAACCCCAGCGGGGTCTCAACGATCCCCGAGCCTATCCAGGGGGCGGAAAAGGAGGCCTGGGACAGGCCGCGCGAAGGCCTCAAGAAACCCACGTAAGACCACGAAAAACTTCAAAACAATCCCCATACAAGGCACCCCTTTAAACCCCGCACGCTACGCAGGACAGGCCGAAACCCCAAGATTGCCCAGCGATCGCGCGCGTTCCGCGGAGATTGCGGCGAACCCGCGAACCCCCGCCCAGCCCGACGCAATTTGAATAACCGACTTGAAACAGCTGCCGCCCAACAAAATGCCCTCTTGGAAGTCGCCCTCATCTGAGGCCCCCCCAGCCAGAGACTCCTGGACACTATCCCTCGGCAGCTTGACGCACCACCTCTTCCATATTCACTTGCCCCAGAAGCCGTGGACAGAAATCCCCGGGGCGAGGGGCGGCCCCAGAAGCGCGCCGCCCGTATATCCTCAGCAAGAGAGTCACAAGCTTCCAACGCCTGCGTAATAATTCCTGGGCCCACCACGTCGCCCATGGTCGAGATAACAGCCTGGCACTCCCACATCCCGCGGAAACTTGCGTCTTCCATAACGTGACAAAGCGGAAACATCACGGAAACTTCCTTAGCGCACGATGACAGGCCCAGACCACCACGCTGAAGAGGCGAGCGCCTCTTCGATCGCAGGTCCGCTTGGACCACATGATAACAGAGTCTGGGGCGCCCAAATGAGGAAGGGGCACTAAGGTCGCCGCTAAGGGCGAATCACCAGAGAGAGAGAGAGAGAGAGAGAGAGAGAGAGACCCTCACCCCCCACCCCCACCCCCACCCTGCCAGGCTGCATCTCGAATCCCCCACCATCCCGCAGAGGCGGTCCGATTGCTGCGGCGCCAACAGAAGAAGCACCAGCGAGCTTGGCCAGCGCCCCCCTTCCCAGATGGCGCAAGAGAGCTTCGCGCAGAAGTCAGGGGAATCCAACGCGCGCGAGACCAGTCTCTCCAGGTCGTCTCCGAACGCGGCCGGCGACGGACCCCATGGGCCGACCCAAATGTTTCGCAGGATAGCGCACATGGGGTCCGAGACTTTTCTTCGCGTAAATGTCTCTCCCCCCCTGGAACGCCGCTTTCCAAGGGGCCCCCAGGGTAGCCCAATCAGCGCGTCCGTGGAAATGCCGAGACAGAAGAAGCCGCGCTTCCCTACGATGCTGAACGATGGGCGCCGCGGCCGAGTACCGCGCGGAATCCCGCTCGAACAGACTAAGGATAGTAAGAACCCTGCCCCCGACACTAGGCGGCACTAGGCGGCTTGTGAACGCTGGCCGCTTGCCAGCGTGAAGCGTGGACTTCGCCCCGCGCATCTCAGCGCCGCGAATCAGCCCCGGCGTCGGCCCGGCCCGCCGGCGAAGACGCGCGCGGCCTCTGCCGAAATGACCCCGGGGCATCTTGAGGCGCCTGGATTTCCTGAAGACACTCGACGCCTTCCCTTCCTCTTCTTCATCTTGGCCCCCCCCCCTCCGGAGCGAAAATCCGCGCCGGCGGCGCCATCGCATCCTTCGCCGGCGGGGGAAGCAAGCAGCCAGCCAAAGGAAACAAGCCCAGCTTCGAGTTTCGCGCCGGGTTTGGGACACGAGCGAATAAGCGCCACCATGCCCAAGCCACTTCCCCACATATCACCACTGCGATAGCGCGACGCAAAAATCAAGCCCATCTCCTGGATGGAGCGAAGGACAAAAGACCTGGATCCAATAACAGGGATTGGCGTCATCAACGAACGCATCAAAACTCCCGCGATGATGGCGGCCGAATTCCCGGCCCACTCATCCAGTCCAACCCCTTCCAAGTCGAGCCCCGCCAACGCCCCGGGCACCGCGTCGAAGGCGCCCTGGGCGCGCGCCCTGATCAGGTCGCGGAAACGCTGCATCCAGCAGCGGTGTCTTGCGCGGCAATGATGGCCTAGGAGTTCAGACCTGCAGAGATCACGCCTGGCACAATTCAGAAAGGAAGCGCAGACATGAAGCGCAGCCCCAGAAAACCGCGCTCGACGCCACGAACCTCCGAAACTTCTAGGCGGATCATCTCATAGTATAGGAACATCCCCGAGAGCACCGAACAGGAACAAACCCCTTGTCGGACACCGCATTCCAAGCGGAAAGCATGCCTCCGACCGGTGTCCACGGCCCCCCGACGCCCCCCGG